GGCTTTTTTCTCAAGGAAAAAGCTTAAGTTTTCCCAGTATACACAATGCCCTCCAAATAAAGCAGTAGCTTTGTTACAACTTTTCTTTAAGAAATGTTCAGAGTGCCAGTGCATGCTAGGTAACAAAAGATGACAGGAAGATAGACTAACAATTTGGTGGTTTTTTTGCCACCTCAGATAGGAATTGGAGTTGCTGTAACTGGATTTATTATTCATCCTGCAGTATGCTTAATGCGCCTCTTCACAGAACCTCAATGTCTGAGGTACTTTCTTTTCTAAATTTTTTTTTTAATGAATAAGGCATTGCCAGAATCTGTAAAAGGTAGAAAGGACATATGTTATTCATTTTTTTTTGAGCTGACTGTGGTATCCAGGACCTCTGCAAGCTGCTTGCATCTCCCAGAAGGTGTGTAGTGGATCTGGGCACAGAACCCTGCAGTCCTGACTTCTAGTTTTACAACGTTACTGTGCTTACCCTTGAACCACATCAGGGTTGCTTGTTTGCAAATACATTGTGAAGGTACTTGTCTTGATGAGTCCATGCTTCTGCATGTGGTTGCAGGAGGAAAATAAAGTTTAAAATTCTGCAGCTTTTGGTTATGGCAGGATACCTGTCACTTTCATATACTGGGGGTTCAGATACCTACTGAAGTCCTAGTTTTTAGTTCCTGTATGACTGTGCAGCTGCACCTTGTTGTAGTGTTATTTTAAAACTGTGCAACTGTTTCATGAGCTTGTTTATAACGCCTTTGGGAATATTTATTATCCCATAAACATAATCTTGAATTCATAGAATTTAAGGTCATTGTTGCTTGGTTGCTAGTATTTTTTCTCTCCTATAAAATTTGGAGTATAAATGCCTGTAGTAAGAATGTTGATGCACTTGGGGTCAGTGTGATAAAAGTTCCCAAATACTTCATGCAGACCACTTCATTTTCACTGTGGTTCGCTAAGAAGCACTGCTTACATGGTAAAGTTTACACCTGTTTTGTCTCTATGAAAAAAATCTTTAAATTGATAAACCAGTGAAAGGTTTTGGGTGGTTTACTTTTTTTGAAACAACTCTTTTGTCTCCAAAGGGGTAAGACCTTTCTAACATTTGCACTGAGGGAACAATCAGCGAGAACTGCACTCTTGTTAAAGCATCAGTATGTGCGTGGGAGCTGAACCTCCCGGCAGAGCACAGCAGAAAGTGAGCTTCCTCGATTCTGCTGTTCACATGGAGCTCTGGGTAGTGGACTGACTGATTTGTGCTGTGCTGCTGAAATCTGGCTGTGTTTTAAATTTTTTTTTTATTTTATTTTTTTTCCCTTTGCTATCACTCAGGTTGTTGCCATGTGTTTTGTTTCTCTTGCAGGTAAATGGCAGGACAGAAAGTAGTGTGAAAGCTTTGGAAGACCCTGAGAATTCCAAGTAAGTCGGTCATTGCTGAAGGGTATTAGGGATGAGGTCTCCTATGTAACTTTTTTACTCTTTCTTGGCATGCATTCTGAAAGTCTGGCGCATTTGGGGCTTGCCTAAACAATGGTGAGTAAGCTGACCTGTTGTGGAATAATAACACAGTCTTGATTAAATTACTAAGAGCCCCTTTTTCTTCCCTGTCAGGTCTGGTGCGGAAGCTGTACATGTGAAAAATCTTTTAACTTCTTTGCATGGGTGAGGATGGTAGGATGTACTTAGAACTGCCTTATCTACCCGGTTTGTTGTTTAAAGTTTCTGCCCAGCTTCACATATCAGGCAGATAAAGTCAATCATCTGTCATCTAGTTTTTGAGACTCAAAGATAAGCAATTAAGTCATTTAGATTTCTTCTTTCTGCTTGCTCAGGATAAAGCAGTATCAGACTTCTGAGCCTGCAAAACAGAGAGGGATTGATCAAAGGCTGAACAGTATGACATGGCTCAGTGCAGGTGATCTTGGCTGAACTCCTCATGTGTTTTCTGCTCATTTTTGGCCAAAATGAGGCCCTTTCCAAACTGGAAAGAGAGCTACAGAAGACCTGACAAACTGTGAAAATGAGGTTTTCAAAAAGCAATATCAAAGCTAAAGTCCAGCTAACAAAGAGGCATCTGGTGTTAACATAGCAAGGGAAGAGACATGTCCTGCTAAGAAGTAGTTTGCCAAGAATTTTCCAAGTGCAGGAAGCACAGAAAGTGTAAATTTAGAAAGCTCCAGAAGAAAGGTTCATGCTTCCTCTTTATTTTCTGTCACAGTTTTTTTCCTTTCTCTCAGCAGACAAGGAACTTTCCTTTAGAAGTATTAAAGGGAAGTTCTAGAATTTTTTTCTCTCTCAAAAAAGAATTTTGATGCAACATGAAGTTAGTCTGTGATTTCACCTATAATAGCTTCGTTAGCTAGGGAGGAAGAATGGAATCCAAATACTGAATTTCCCCAGCAAATGTCTGGCTGAGTTATAGGAGAGCAAACTGTCCACATTAGTGGTACCAGAAAGTATGTAATTAGATCAGAATGGGAGCAGCTCTCCGGAGGATGTCTCAACATGCCGATGGAAGTCTTGTACATTCCAAAGGAAGTGCCAGGTGTGCAGGCAGCGAAGGCAGACTTTACAGCATCTTCTGGAAGGAAACTAACCCAAACAGGAATAAAAAAGTTCAAAGGCACTGATGTACAAAATAGAAATAACTCCAATCTATGCATTTTTTGCACAAAATTTCTTTGTGGAGTGGTTGGGTTTGTGGTTTTATTTATTTATTTATTTATTTATTTATGTGTTTTTCATTCTTTGAAAATTATTCCCTTTCTGCTGTAACTGCTAGAACTTTTATTGTTCTAATGACTTTCTACCTTAGCTGTAATGGAATTCCTCTCTCTGGCAGGACTAAGCAACCCAAGTTACCTCTCACTACTTTGGGCTTTCTATTCACTCCTTTCTCTTGCTGAGTAACCTTTAAACTTGACTTTGAAGCTTGTGCCCTGATTTCTGTTTCTAAATTCAAAGTCTTGTTTTTCGTGTGTGACGTGTTAATCTGTATTTTTCTCTTTTTCAGTTTTTGTTACCTGTTATACGTGGAATTTTGCTCTGTAAAGTTTTTCTCAAAAATTTGTTCACCAAAAAAACTCCAAATAAACCCTAAACAAACTTTCTTGCTCTTGGTAATATTTGTGGGTAATTTTGTTTTCAGAGTATTTTTCTTACCAGCATATATTTATATTCAGATAGAATGCAGTGCCAAGTTCAAGAGTGCTTGAGAAATGAAAAGAATTTTCCATGCAAATTTGAACCCAAACTACTGCTGTCTTATAAGAGTTATATTGCTAGTCAAGATTGTTTACAAGAAAAAAATAAGTAGAGACTTTGTACATTTCAAACACTGATATGTGGATTTATTAAAAAAGGCCTGACAGAGGTAGTGTAGTTTCCTTGGTTGTGGCTTTAAAAAAAGCTTTGTCTTCCATATGTAAATCTTTAACCAAACCACACCTGCTCACAACATACAGGTTTCTGGAGTGTAGGGACGTCTTTCTACTCTGTTTTTTTTGACTGATTTATCTATTTGTGTTAGTACTAAATCATGTGTATCCTGGTGTGTATTTTTTTTCTGTACTGTATATGCCACACATGATTCCTTTCAGCTAAGACAATCTTATTGAAAGAACCCCTGCAAAGAAGCATAAAAGCCTACAGGCTTTTCAGTTGTATTTGTGTAGTTCATACTTTGCCTGATGCTTTGACATATTTACATGGAGTTATTTCCTATTGCAAATGTTACTTTTCTAAAATCCAGGCCTTAGTCTGGTAATTCAAGATATTAATGCTGTGAAAGAGAATTTGTGTCCCAGGCTTTTTTGTTACCTTACTACTGTTGTCCAGATTCAAAGCTCTAATGATCTCTTAAGTAAAGCCCCAACAAAATAATCTTTGCATAACAGGCTTTCAGTAGAAATTTAAAATGAGGCGGAATCAAGCTATGTTAACTGATGATGGTATGGGATACATGTAACTTTATAGTTTACCAGTATATGAAGCTGCCTTGCAATATTGGCATGATGATCTTCAAATATCAGCCCTGGTGTGTGCAGGTTAGGGGTGCACATCTGGGATACTCTGTCTTGCTGTGCAAAGCTCTGGATAGAAATGCATAGAGATGTAAGCCCTTGAGGGAGCTTGTGGTTGGTATTTTAAAGAGAGATATGTTTCCAAGCCTTTGCAATTTGTTTATTTTGGAAACTAGGAGCTGGGCATGTAAAAGACTTTGTGTATCTCAAATTACTTAGTTCCACCATCTCTGTGATGTCACTTGTTACCGACTGATGAAAGTAGCAGTCTGTTGCACAGGTAGTTCATCTGGAAAAAAAAATTGCTCTGGAACCATTGTTCACCACTAAGGTTGACTGGCACAGCATCTTCTAGTACTTCAGTTGTTTGAAGTAAATGCAGGAATAAGCTTTAAAACCTGCTCTCTGTCCAATTATAGTTTGGCAGCAATAGCAGCATATGGCGTTCCTCCCCTGTGATTCGTTCCCACCATATGCTACCACTGGTTTGATTGTACCAACATAGTTGATTGTGGTACTACTTGGTAAATTGGATGAAACACGTCCTCACCTTGTTTGCAGTGTGTGGTCAAAGCTAAGGAGGTGGTGTGCTGCCTGTCTGTGAAGGGGAAAGAGGGTTTGGGAAGCAGACAGCCTCATCGCTGGAGGGAGCATGGCAGTGTCTCAAAGCAGGTAGTGTTCTGCTCTCACAGGGAGAGCAGCAGTAGAGATGAGGATGATGAGTTATAGTTGCATCTTTGGGTGGAACAGTGTTATTAAGATACATTTGCTCTTTTGTCAGTTTGCTTGTAGCACTTAGACTCTGTGTTCAGAAATATTTTGTTGTATGCTGCCAGTAACAGTGTTCAACTTCTATTAATATAATGCTAAAATGTTTAATTTGTAGTGTTTTAAGTAATTTTGTATTATAAGGAGTTTTAGCTTTGGGGTTTGCTAAATGCAAGGAGCGTCTGTGTCTGTCTATTCATTCCTTCGTTCATTCCTAGCCCTGTTAAATGAAAATCTTGATGCAACTGTTCTGGATTAATATGTGCAGTTCTTCTGTCAGCTCTTGCGTTTGATGGGAGCCTTGAAATGGGATGACTTAATTTTTTGGTTTTGATGTATGATGAGACTCACATGTATGCATTTCTGCGAAAACTCAAAAAGTACTTGCAGATTTCATTTCAGGTGATTCATGCTGTTTTGGAAATGTAATTCCTGCCATTTTCAAAAAGGATAAACTGCTTCTGCATCTTCTTGTTTTTCTCAAAATTTTTCCCCTCGAATGTCCTCCTGGCTCTTTCAGAAGTGAGATTTCTGTACTGCTTCCCACCACTGACTGGTTTTCAGTAGTGCACGTGTACACAAATTGCTACTTCCTTAAGCACTTTATGTTGCAGTTTTGTGCCAAAGCTTAAGGCTCAGTACAGAAGAATTGTGTGTACTCTGAGTGGGAAGACAGCAGTATGTGAATACACATAAAAACTTAGTCAAAAAGGACAAAGCTGAAACTTAAGTGGTAATGAGTTGTTATTTGTTTGAATGGTCGTGAAGAGGAAGTTGGAGGGGAGGGGCTTTCATGACTTTACTATTTCTCATTTTCATATGTTCGTTTTGCTGTTTTGGTGGTGTTGGAGCTGTGATCTTCCTGGAATATTTGTTTCTTCTGTTTGAAATAGCATATTTGCTGTTGATTCCAAGTTGAGGATTGCTGATAGCACCTTAAAGGCATTTGGGTGAGAAAGCAGATGCAAGTTCCTTCTTGTTCAGGCTGCAGCATACAGCAAATGACTTCTTGTAGTTGTTCTATGCTATTTTCAGATTTCTTGCTGTTCATGTGATAAAAGTTTAGAGTGAATTGAGTTTTGGTCAATATCCATTTGATTATCAAACCTACTCCTCACATGTCAGGAAGGAGATAGAGAAGCCTTCAAGTGTCAGATATCTTCTGTAACAACTCCCTATTATGCTCAGGCTGTTTGATTGCTGATCTTCTACAGTGTGTTTTTCTAATGCTCAGTATAAGCTTTCTTTATTGTAGCTCAAGCCTCTTAAATTCTGTTTGTTCTGTCTCTAATTAGTGAGAATAATCTATCCTTGGCTTCTTTAGAAAAATTCTTTATGCGTTCTAATCTTTGTACTATGGCTAGCTATGTTTCAGAGAACACCTTTTTCTTGTATGTGCTACTTTCTGAACTTTTTGTCTGGTGTCTTCTAAATAATGCAGTTTATTGAGGTCTGATCAATCCTGAATTGAGTGAATTATTATTCTAAAGAGTAGCAGTCCAGCCCAGCAATGAGTATCTGGTTTATTATATAATTTTTTGGCCTTTCTGTGTGGTAAACTGTTTACACACTAGATTATGTAGACAAGAAGTGTGAATCTTGGAGAGTATGTGTGAACCTACAACAAACTGTCCTGTTATTAGGTCTGAGGTCAGATCCCTTTCCACCTGCAGGTACCTCTAAGGACTCGTCCCTTTGCATGTGGGAAATTGTCTGGTTGTAAGGCAAGATGGTGGGAATTTGGCTAATTTATACTTATAGGATTGGAATGCAGCCAGGTGTCACTGAGCTTTCAACTCATTGCAACTCCATTTCACTGTTTTTCTAGCCTGTGAGCTCTTCATAATGGCTTCTGAGACACTGAGGGTGTCTAGCTGTGATAAGAAATTGTTAACAATATTAAAAACACTTGCTGAAGTTTATCTTTAAAATGGCTGTCACTGAATGTGCTTTTCCTGACTTTTTTCTTGCTTTGTGCAGGACTCTGTCTCTGGGTAAAGAATGCAGACTATAAAGTGCGTAGTTGTTGGAGATGGCGCTGTGGGAAAAACTTGTCTTCTCATCAGCTATACCACCAATGCCTTCCCAGAAGAGTACATCCCTACTGTGTTTGACAATTACAGTGCTCAAATGACTGTTGATGGCCGGACAGTTAGCCTGAATCTGTGGGACACTGCAGGCCAGGAGGAGTATGACCGCCTGCGCACACTCTCATATCCTCAAACCAATGTATTCGTCATCTGTTTCTCCATTGGTAGCCCCTCTTCCTATGCAAATGTGAGGCACAAATGGCACCCTGAAGTTTCTCACCACTGTCCAAATGTTCCCATTCTTCTTGTGGGCACGAAGAGAGACTTGAGAAATGACCTGGAAACAGTTAAAAAGTTGAAAGAGCAAAGCTTGGCTCCCACTACCCCACAGCAGGGGACTTCCCTGGCTAAACAAATTGGAGCAGTCAAATATTTGGAGTGCTCAGCATTGAATCAGGAGGGTGTTCGGGAGGTGTTTGCTGAAGCTGTCCGTGCAGTTCTGTATCCTGTGACAAAGAAGAACTCGAGAAAATGTGTCTTATTGTAGTTACCTTGGATGGTGGATGTTTGAAGTTGAATATTGACTATCTTGGAGGGCTCTTAAATGAGTTAAATTGAAGATTTGCATCTTGCACTAACAGCTCTAAACATAAATGGTTTTTGCAATGAATATTCTTGCAGTCTTACTGCTTCAGGGAAACTGAAACAGGTTTTTTTTTCCAGCTAAGAGGTCAAATTTCTAAAGTTCTGGTCTCCAGCTTCTGTCCTTATTTAGTGGAGGAAAATAAAAGAATGAGGAACTTTGAAGCCAGAGTTCTTTACTAGATAGCCATCAGTTACTAGATTTGCTGAAAAGCACAAAGTCTGATAACTTTGCTTTAAGTTTAGCTGCTGCTTTTCTCATCCCTTATTTACTGACTGAATTTGTTTTATAAATACAAGTCTGGCTGTCCAGTTGTTTTAATTATCAGTTTAAAGCTTGAAAGTAATTTGTTTACAGGCACAAATGCCTGAAATATTACTGAGATTCACCTTAAGTGAACTGTGATCATTTATATTAAAAATTAGCATGATGCATGTTTAATGCAATGAGCAATACCCAGGGAACACCTACAGTGAAGCAGAAGCTGATTTCTCTTAATATAGGGAACTTAGGATAATGATGAACCACTCAAGTGAGTTTCATACTTTGAATTAGGGAGGTGGAAGTAGTTTAGATGCAAGTCTTCCATAATCTCATAAACCTAAGTTTTTATTTCACTCTCCAGAGAGACTTTGCACCCTGAGAATAAAGTAAACTTACATTCTCGGACTGAGGTAGCTGGAATAGCACTTCTCAAAATGAAATTTTCAGTGTGATCCCTCTGATGAATCCAAGAGACTTGATAGCAGCCCATTTGCTCTTGAGGAATTAAATGCTTCACTTCTTAATGTTCATGGGGTCACCACGTGTGATATTTATGTTAATTCCTTCGTTATCTTTGTGGGAGAACACTGAGAAAATGTTGAGATTCAATTTACAGGAACGAGGCACTCTTGTTTCTTCCTAGCAACTCACTGACAATTTTAGTTAAATTTGTAATGTCAAATGCCAGTCACTGGATAGGTTTACCTGGGCAGTTTTCTCCTCTCTTATTAGGTGATTAGTTACTATAAGCTCTTTTAAGTGTGTACTTTTTAACCTTCTTTAGCAGCTCTAGTGAGTGGGAGCTGGCTCTTATTTTCAGGATGTGTACTGTTCTTTATGTGTGATTCCGGGACCAGCTGAGGAGTGAGCTTCCTTAGACTTAACCTTACAGCTTGGTGGCATGAAAGCAGGATGCTTCAAAGATAACTTTGTGTGAAACCAATGGTGCTAGACTGGGCTTTGTTGTCTGAAGTTGACAGTACTGTCTTTGTCCAGAAGCAGCCTGAATTGGTAATTCAGAACTTGCTTTCTTATGATTCCCACACGTGCAAAACTGCACTGGTGTATACCCTGGGCAGAAAAAAGCCTCAATTTAGCAAGATAATAGAAAATATATCAATCAGGTTTTTAGGGGCCTTGTATTAATATGACCTTGCTTTCTCTGATATGGGCAAAAATACCAGGTGGATGAAACATTCCTATTTGTGCCCTAATTCCTCTCTTTGAAGAGGATGTGCCTTTCTTCAGCTGGTGTAACGGATGCAGACACTAACTGCAATTTTTGTATATCTGAGGTATGCTGGTACTGATACTGCTTTAGCAAACTGCATCTCATAGATTATAAACCGCAGTTAATCCAGATACTGGTATAAGTAGCTAGTGAACTAACACAGAGTTCCAAATATTGCTTGATCATAGGCAACACCACAACACCCATTATGCATGATGTTATGCAGAAGACTCTGCCTATTTTTCTTCACTAAGTGCCATTGCCTGGAGTGTCTTTATGTCTTGCACCTACAGAAGAAGTACTGTTCCAGATGTGGCTCCTACTGCAGTGCTCTGTAGGCTGTGAGGGTGTAAGAGTATTTCAGTGAGGTAACCTCTACTTGCCCGCACCTTTACTCTAGTAGTAGGCCTTTAGTGTGGGATTGACTTGGAGGCAGCAGTTAACTCTGTGCCTTGTAATTCAAGGTTATTTTCTGTAGGTAAGTTTCAATAACTGAGTAAATAGTTTATAATTGATTAAAATGTATTTATTTAAGCCAGTGCAGATATTTTTTTGTGATTTTTTTTTTTTTTTTTTAAAATGCTGGTCAGACCTAAATAAACTGTCTAGTTACCCTAGTGCAAGCTCATAACCTTTGTTTCATTCAGAGATGTACTTCAAAAAGCTTGTGATGTGTTTGAATTACTCCTATTAATTTCAACAACAGGCACCTCTTTTTTTTTCCTACGTAAACTTGCAATTTTGTACTGAAGCTAATACTGTTTTAAAAAGGTTTTACTTTTTTATATACTGAAGTCTTTTACATCTGCCTCTTTTTGTGGTTATTCGTAACTGGATTACAATAATTTTGAGAAGAAATCCTGTGAGCAAGCACACATTCATTCCGTTTCTGAAGGCTCACAGAGCAGCCATCCTGGTGTTAACTGGAAGAGAGTATGGTGCGATAAAATTCAGTTACTTAATTTGACTTGTTCATATTATTGATGACATTATGCTAGAACACTTTATCACCATCTAGATTACTTAATAAATGGATTGTGCAACAGCACTGAGAATATGGTGGTGATGAGCAGAAAGTTAAATTTGAACAGTGTAAAAAACTTTTTACTGACTTAGGAGTACCTCACTAATAGTCATTTATATGCCTTCTATTTCTGCCGCTTTTTTGCCAGGAGCAAAAGTCCTGCTGGCTGACAGCTGGTTTCCTTCAGCCTCTGCTTTTCATGATTATGAGCTTCAGGAGTGCATGGATCCAGTGAGCTTTCCCGTTCAGTGGGCATTCTCAGTTTGTGATCTTCTTTCTTTTTTTTTTTTTTCCTCCCTACAATTCTTGGTGCTTTTTATTGCAAGTAGTCCAGTACTTCAGTCTGCGATCCATTTCATTCCTCCTACATTCATGGTCTTTTTTTTTTTCTGTGAGCAGGTAACAAATACAGGTTTACACACTCCCACAGCTGAATTTTGTCTGGTTTTGGGATATCAGATAACTCACATTCAGCTATGTGGGTGTCCTGAACTGTTCAAGATTGCTTAGTTTGTTACCGAATAGAAACGCAATATGTATGTCTTAATTCGCAGAAAGAGACCCTCTATGAAGACACTGATTTTAATCTTATTTTGTGAATGATTTTTTGAAATGCTTAAGTGTTGTTTTAAATATAGCTGAAGCCATGCATGGGGAGCTGAGCAGTTCAGAAATTCTGTGTCTAAAGAATGTTAGGTGTGCTTAGATGTATAAGTGCTTTCTGCAGTTTATAGCTCTAGTTATTTCTATGAAATTTAAGGTAGAAGAGCCTCACACGGTGCTTTGTTTTCTAATACAAAACCTTGCTCTGTAGAAGCCTGGGAGCTGCTTCTTGGCCGACCCTGAGGAGTGGAGGGATCTCACTGGGGGTCTTGACCACCCAGTGGGCTGTGCGAAATGCCTGGCAGCAGTGGAAGCCAGCGACTCTTAAGTGTGGTACTGATACATACACTGGGAACTTGATTTCATACTAGGAAAGAAATTGTATTACAGCTGTTTCACAGGGTTTTTTTAAATTTTGAATTATGCAGGTTTAAGTTGTAACAAACTTTTCCTCATCTCTCTGGCTCTCGTATTAACTCACCATGCTGTTTGTAACGCACCTGTTCTAAACGTATTCTTTCCTGTGGAAAGCCAGACCCCGTTTCTTAAATGCAATAAATGACTTTTCGGTGACCGCCGGAGC